TGAGACTGTCGGAGATTTTTTACGAACTGCTGAGATCTTGGTGCCGGGTTTTCTATCCGTGGCGATAGAGGGGTTGCCAGATCTATCCCGTAATTAAGGAAGAATGGGAATGGAGTAGTCGTGGCCGTTACCGCTTGGACCAGCTGGCAGGCCAGTGACGAAATCCATCGTCACTTGTTGCCAGGGTCGGCTGGGTGGCTCTAGCGGCTGCAACAATCCCACAGGTCGAAGCCGGGACAACTTCATACGTTGACATGTGGCGCAGGAGGTGACGTACAGCTGCACGTCTGTCGGCAAATCATGCCAGTAATAATTACGGCACAGTAATTTGGCGGTTTTGTCGATGCCATAGTGACCTGAGAAATTCGAGTCGTGTGCCTCCTGTATCAGTAGTTCTCGTAGGGTACGGTAGGAGGGAACCCAAATCCGATTGGTACCGGATTTTAGGTTATAAGCCCCTTGCTTGACCGTCAGTTGGGGATGACTGTTAGTGGTGAAGAATGGGTCGGTACTGTATCTGTTGGTGAATAGGTCAGTTAGCAACGGATTAGCTTGGATAATTAGGACTGCAGTGGTATGGACTGAAGGTCGGGTCAGTGCGTCAGCGATGTTGCTGTCTCCCTGTTTGTAGGTGACTCTGTAGTGGAAGTTGGACTCGAGGTAATCAAATCAGCGAATCTGTCGAGAATTCAGTGTCGGCTGGGCGCGGATGAACTGTAGCAATTTATGGTCTATTCGGACTGTCACGTCATCGCCCGTCAGGCAGCAGCGCCAGACTTTGAAAGCGTGAACGATGGCGAGTAACTCCTTGTCGTGGACAGGATTATTTCGCTCGGCCGGGTTCAGCTTTCGTGACTCGTAGGCGATCGGTTGGAGACCTTCGCCGAAGTCTTGTAACTGGACTACGCCAATGGCCAGGTTGCTAGCGCCGGTGGCCAGGTCGCTAGCGTCGGTGATGGGCTCAAATGGAGGGTGGGGATCTGCAATCCGAAGAACCGGAGGTGTAGTCAGGAAAAGTTTGAGCTTTTCGAACGCAGCCTGCTCCTCTCCCCCCCACTCATAAAATGTGCCCTTCTTCAGGAGATCCATTAGAGGGGAAGTTACCCCCACCATGTTCGGAATGAAACGACAGAAATAATTCACGAACCCCAGAAAACTCTGAAGTTCACGGAGATTAGCCGGCGGCTTCCAGTCTTGGATCGTTGCGAATTTCTTGGGGTCGATTTAACCCTGTCGATGGAAATGACGTGGCCCAAAAACTCCAGCTCTTATTTGAGAAACTCGCACTTAGAGCCCTTGGTGATGAGTCGGTGCTGCTGCAGGAGAGAGAAAACTGCTTCCAAATCCTTCAAATGCTGCTCCCGGGTAGTGTTGTAGATCAGGATGTCGTCGAGGTACACAATGATGCATTTATCCAGCAGCGGCCGAAAAACCTCGTTCATGGTTAACTGAAATGTTGAAGGCGCGTTTGTTAAGCCAAAAGGCATAACCGTATATTCGTAACTCCCGTACCGGGTTCGAAACGCCGTCTTGTAACACTCCGCTTCGTGCACGCGAAATTTGGTGGTAGCCGCCTTGCACGTCAATTTTCAAGAAGAATTTGGTGCCGCGAAGTTGGTCGATGAGTTCGTCGGCACACAGTATAGGATAGCGAGACTTGATGGTAACTCGATTTAAGGCGCGGTAGTCAATACACATTCGTAAACCGCCATCTTTCATCGGAGTGAACATGATTGGAGCTGCAAACGGGGATGTGCTTGGGCGAACGAAGCCTTTCTCGAGCAGGTAGTCCAGCTGGCTTCGAAGTTCGTCCAGCTCGGGCTGAGCCAGCCGCCATTGAGTCTGAACAGTAGGCTGCGCGCCGGGCTCCAGCTCTATTTTGTGGTCATGGTGTCGCTCTGGTAACAAACCCTCCGGTAGGTCGTCGGGAAAAATGTCGGCGTGTTTCCGAATCACCATCGCCAAGTCATCCAGGACAGCTGCGCAGAGTTTGTCGATGTCGGTCAGCGTGTCGGCAGCTGTTGATGCGATCCATCAGACGGCGTACAGTTGCGTCCCTCAAATTATAGCTCGTTTGATCGTAACTGCGCTGACCGTCAATGTGGTCGAATCTTGACAGCTCCACTTGGGTAGTCGTCGCCACTCCATTTGATGCGACCGTCGCCCGTCCGCCAATCGATGCCCGGGTTGTATTCGCGCAGGCAATCGCGTCCCAACAGCGTGTCGTAGCCGTCCAAAGTTGTTGCCAGCATCTTCATCGTGAAATTGAAATTTTCATTGCATGTTACTCATACGTGAGGTACTCACTCCCGAATTGCCAGTGGTCTGCCGTCAACCGATCTCGCGTCGATTTTGGGCATGCAGCGCTCCAGCTGCTATCTTTTTTTTTCGCCTTCATCACGTCCATCAAACTGTGGCTCGCCCCGCCATCAACGAATATTTTGATGCGGGTTTCGCCAACTCTCCCTTCAACCAGCACAGGGCGATCAACCGATTCACCCCCCTTTTACAGCCAGGAATGGTCGATAGCCCAAATTGGCACTATAACCTGGTGGGGGGGGTGGCGTTTGGGCGACGCAGTCAAGTCAGTAGGTGGCCCATCTGCTACTGACGATCTCCATTTCTCGACTGATTCTTGTTGTTCGGTAAGTTTTTCTTCAGGTGCGAGCAGTCCCTCACCATGTGGCCCGGCTGGTTGTAGTGGAAGCAGGTCCCCGAAAATACTCGGGCTGCAAACACGTCCACGCCGTTGATTGATGTGTGTTGGGGCTGGCCTTGAAAGTGATTTCCCTCCCGGAAACCTGCTCTCGCGAGTCCACGTCGTGCGTCCAGCGCGTCTGCTATGCGAACTATTTCGTTGAAGGTCGTCGGGGCTCGGAGGACGATCTCTTGCTGAATGTCCAGCTTGAGGCCACCCACGTAGGGATCGATTTTCTCGTCTTCGATAAGCCCTCTGATTCGGTCGCAGATTGCCAGAAACGACGCCATGTAGTATTGGACAGAGCCCAAATGTCTCCACATCTGAAGCTTTGTGCGAGCATATTCGCGCATGGATATGTGCTCGAATCTGCCCTTCAACACTCCACCCCACGCTTTCCACGTGCAGATCGTGGCCGACCCAATGATTGGTTCCGCCTTCGCCGTTGATGAACTCAACTCCCCATCTACCACCCGTTGATTCCCTGCCGAGGCTCCTCCCTTGTCTAGATGCATGCGCCACCAGTCGAGTGCCGGTCCCCTAAGCAGCGACACAGCCAAGTTGACACGTGGTGCATTGCCATTAATACTTGCTGCCGTGAAGAAGATTTCCATGGCGAACAGCCACCCGCTCACTGTTGTTGTCCTGTCGGTCGGGTTGAACGGTGGAGGCATCGGTGGTTTGATTTTAATGGCCGCCCGCGGCTCGCTGTGGACTTCTTCATCTGCTTCAGGTGTCGCCGACGCCCTCGCTTCGCTCGCAGCATTTTCGTCTCGGGTAACAGGCCGCCCCTAACGCGTTTCACCCAGTGTCTGGCGAAGCGACGAGTTTTCGTTTCGCAGCATCTGAACTTCGCTTCCTTGCAACTCGAACTTATCCGAGAGTTGTTGAAGCTGGGCCTGCTGTGTCGTCACTGTAGCCGCCCTGGCTTGCAACTCGTCAAACTTCTCCTGAGTCACATTCCTAACACTACGACGGACATAGGTTTCCGGCGTGGTAGGCATGCCGGAAATTTTACCTGACAGATCTGAGAGTGCACACACTTTTAGTTGGAGGAGCTTTAACGAGCTCGCCTACCAACCGCTGGCCAACCCTCTAGTCTGTCGGGTCCTCTCCCGATATAAACGGACTACTCTATGGAAGACTAAGTGGGCAGGAACGGGGCCCTGATACCAGCTGTTATAAATTAATCAGAGTAATAACAGGTAGTGTGATAAAGGAGTCGTGATTCAAGATTGTCGATACAAATGAGGGTCTAGGCATTTATAGGCACGAACAGAGCTAGCCGAGAACCACGCGAACATGTTGGGGCGGTCTAGTTGGCGAAAGCCACGGAAGCGCCGCGCGTCTAGGTTTGGGTTCGCGAAATGGTTCGGGACCGAAGAAGTTGGCCAAGCCTGGACTTCCAAGAGTCGAGGGCGTACGTGCTGTAGTCGAGCCCGGCAAGGAAAAGGGAATTTCCTTGCACTTAGAGATTCATTTCCGCGCTACTCTGCTTGTTCATTCATAACATCTTTGCTTGTCGGTAACGAGATAACCCTAAATAAGCTTCGAAGACGAGGCTGGGCCAAGCCAAGCCACGGAAGCCGAACCACGGTTTTGGGCCAGCCAGACCTATTTGCCTGCCTGGCTTCCCCATTTGCTTTCCGGGTCAGTGTTGCTTTGGCCGCCTTCCCCCACCAAGCCATTCCGTGAACAGTACTGCCATTTCTCCGCACCAGCCCCGCGAACCCACCACCCACGATCTCTCCTGTCTCCGTTCCCCCCGCCCTCTCGCCCCCCACTTCCCTCACCTCCCCTTTCCCCCGCCCTGCACCAACAGGCCTCTCTCGATAACCTAGGGGTCACCCTGCAGAATCCGAGTTTGCCCAGGATCCAATTTGTCCAGGCTGGGTATCCCAAAAAATTTGGGCTGTTTTTGCAGGCCAAAGTTTCGATCAGCTCGGAATGTGCCACTCCTGACAATTACAGGGGGAGACATTTTTCTAGGGGTGCGAGCGTTTACATTAGATTTTACAGGGTGGGTCCATCCCTTACTCGAAAATTGGCTGAAATTTGGTTTGCCTGTCCATGGACGGGAAACGATATTCCGAGTGGGTCAAAAGCAGGTCTAGGCGGGAATTTCACCCTGTTTTCCTTGACAAAGCAGTGTAATTACCCTGACTTCCAGAGGCTTGGCAGCAAACCCATTCTCCCCCCTTCCCCTCCCCCTCTCCCCCCCACACCCCCCAGCTGTTTTAGGCGGTGGCCACATGGAAGATACCTCTCACAGCAACCCACTGTTGCCGCCGACCAACTTTCCACAGTACAGCCTCTCTCATAGTACAGTAGTATTATTTTCACACATTTCTCGCGTGTTCGCGGATAATGAGCGAGCTCGCACGTCTCTCTGTTCCACTTACGGTATACGCGTGTGCTATCCTCGCTACTATTTATTATCTCTCGTTACGCAAGCCGCAAGGCAATGCAGTTGGACTCCGCGACTTGCTGATTCCGAATAACTGCTCGCTGCATAAACTTCAATGCGTTAGTTCGCTGCTCGGCTAAACAGAGAATGGCTCCTTGATCTCGCCGTTAGTTCACCATTGCCACTGAGTGGCACGTCAGGCGTCACCAGTCGCAGACATGCCAGGTACGCATCCCCTGTTTCGCGGTACACGCGACCTCGCCTGGTATCGCATGTCTTGTCGCGCTATCGCTCGGTGGAATGCTCCTAAATCTAGACCACCGGTTTACGCTTTCTCCAGTCTTTGTTTTGCCGGTAAGAGAACACAGGGACAGGGAACCTCACCGAGGACGCGTAGCATTGTAGAGCGCGAGTATGTGGGGCTGTACGGCGTGCTGCTGCATGGGACAAGTTAGTGAGCACGGACCGAGAGTGCCTTGGGAACTGCCCTAGGGCTGTTTTCAGTAGATGTTTATCCCTTCAGAAAACTGGACTTGAGAAGGGAACCTGTCCGTTTCCGCCTCCCGTATATCTCCCCTCAACTGGCCAGTTTCCAGCGCCATGCCGCACGTGGCAGGTGGACTCGAGCCGTATGAGTTGCTGGAGGACTCCCACTGCCTCTTCCCTGCTCCGCCACACGCTGCCATTTCCCCACCGTGTTCACTCTTCCGCCATTCCTTCCGTCCCTCCTTCCCTCCCTCACTCCCTCCCTCCCTCCCTCCCTCCCTCCCCCCGCTCCCCCCCCCCTCTCCCCCCCTCCCCCCTCCTTCCCCAAGCAGGCCGGGCAACAGTGCAGTACCCAGCGGGCCGTCTAGCTGTGGACGAGCTAGTCGTGCTGCTACAGCCGTCCTCGCCAGGAGACGGCACCCCCGACCAGCAGGCGCAGCAGCAGCAGAGCCAGCAGCAGCAGGGGGACGACAGCGCGGGCCGCTTCTCCCTCCAGTCCATCTTCTCTGGGGGGAAACCCGCCTCCGCTGGGCTTCCGCCCCGGGGCAGAAATGAGCCTTTTGACCTGGACGCGGAGTTAGACGATGACGGGGGCGGGGGAGGCGGAGGGGTTGGCGGAGGCGGAGGGGGAGCATGGGGAGGCGGGCAGGGGCAGGGAGGGCCGACGCTGCGGCAGCTGTGGACGTCAAATTGGCTGGAGGAGAGCGGGGTGGTGGTGGCCGTGCCGTCGTGCTCCGACCGCATGGCTGTGGCATATGGGTCCACGCTGGTGCTGCTCGATGGGCTCGTGGCCGCTGACATGGGGTGAGGGGAGAGAGAGCGGCATGGGACCAGGGGAACGCAGATGTGAGGACGGGCGACGTGGGATTAGGAGGCGGCTGAGGTGGGATGAGAGGGTAGCTGATGTGGCATTAGGAGCCGGCTGAGTTGCAGACGAAGTAGGGGGAAGGAACACTGGGATGTTTTTGAACTCTCAAATTGTTTCACAGGGCACGCAGGGGATGCTTGGAGGAAGGAGAGGGGCTAGGGAGAACCAGAGGGGTGCAGAGAGACTGGATTTTTGGAGAAACTAGGCAAGGGGGAAAGGGGTGCGTGCTGGGGCTTGCTGGTGCGATGGCAAGGGCCAGGGTTGGAAATGAAGAGGGAAGGGTGGTTAGGAGTGAGGTGATACAGACGGAGGAGTGTGCCCTTAAGGGGAAGATGCATAAATAGTGCGTGATTGAGGGGAAATGCGATTGAGGACTATAGCAGGCTAGAGCAGGGGAGAAGTGTCACGAATGCAGCACCATCGCTCCTTCCAGAGGCCTGTTCACAACCTCTGACTCTGCTCAACCCATACTCGCTCTCTCCCCCCCCCACTTCCCCTTTCTCCTCCCTAGAGTATCTTAAGTCTGTTGAGTCTTACCCCTGCGTCCTCTCTCTCGCCCCCGCCCCACTGCTGCAGGCAATCCGACCCTGTGGTGATCGCCCCTGCATGTGACCGCAGCGACCGCATCACCGCCCTCGAGTGGCTCTTCTTCGCCCCCCCTCCCGCGCCTCCCCCGTCCCTCCCCTCCCCTCCCTCCACCCACCCCTCCTTCCCCACCCCTGCAGACACCCCTCCGATCTCCCCTGCTCCTTCCGCGCCCTCCCCCTCTAGCCCCTCTCCCTCCTCCCCCACGCAGCATCCTGATCCAGGCCAGACTGATTCGCAGCAGCGCGAGCAAAGTAGCAACCTGCATAAGTCCCACAGCCAACAGCAGCAGCAGCAGCATCAGCAGGGGCCGTCGCTGCTGTGTGTGGCAGTGGGCACGGCTGCTGGGTTCCTCCTTATTTATGCCGAGACAGGCGTGCTGCTGGCTCGCCAGGTGAGAGTGAGAGTGAGAGCGAGAGTGAGAGTGACAGCGAGAGTGAGAGCGAGAGTGAGAGTGAGAGTGAGAGTGAGAGCGAGAGTGAGAAGTGAGAGTGAGAGCGAGGGCGAGAGCGAGAGCGAGAGCGAGAGCGAGAGCGAGAGTGAGAGTGAGAGTGAGAGTGAGAGCGAGCCTGAGCGCTACAGCAAGTGATGTATTTTGAGTCGACTCAAAATACAACGGGCGGCGTCCTGCTGCCTCCTACGATATCCCCCTGCCTCATCATTCTACCTTTTCCCCCTACCCCCCATCTCCCCCGCTTCCCCCGGACCCCCGCGCTGCCAGATGGTGCACACGCAGGCAGTGCTGCGGGTGCGGGTGCGGGGCGTGGATAGCGGCATGGTGCGCAACGACGGGTCTCAGGAGCTCTCCGTGGTCACCAGGAACGCCACCGCCATCGTCAGCCCCATGCAGCTACTGGTGCCCACTCTTTCGCCATACGCCCTGTCACCATACGCCCTGTCACCATACGCCCTGTCACCAAACGCCCTGTCACCATACGCCCTGTCACCATACGCCATATCACCATACACCCTGTCACCATACGCCTTGTCACCATACGCCATGTCACCATACACCCTGTCACATACGCCCTGTCACCATACGCCCTGTCACCATACGCCCTGTCACCATACACCCTGTCACCGTACACCCTGTCACCATACGCCCTGTCACCATACGCCCTGTCACCATACACCCTGTCACCATACGCCCTGTCACCTGCCCAGTCATGTTTCCCATATTGCTCCCCCCTTGCCCCCAAACTCTCTCCTCCAAATTCTTCCTCTCCCCAGCTTTCCTCCTCTCCACCCTCCCCGCTCTCCTATCCCCACCGTCCTTTGGCCTTGCTCCGTCCATCCAACTTACTTCTTTGTCGCTTTCCATTCCCATCCCTACTCTCTCACCCACATGTCTCCCACTCCATTTTCTCCGTCCCTTGCCCCACCCAGCTCCCTACCCACCACCACCACCAACCATGCACCACCACCCCACTCCACCCACCCATTCCGCCTCTTCCCCCATCCCTCAATCCTCAGCCCCGCTTCTCCCATTCGTTTCTCTCCCTCCCTTCCCCCTCCCATCTCCCTGCCCACCACCCATTCACCCACCCATCAATTCACTCGACCCTCCCATTCAGCCCCTGCTCCACCGACGCCTGGACGCCATAGCAGCCGCGTCTGCCACGGCTGCGGCGTCCGCGTCTCGCTTCGCCTCTGCGTTCAGCTTCATGGGCGGCGGGGGGCCCAAGCGCAGCGCACGCGAGGAGGAGGGCTCGCACGCGGTGCCCATCCCATTCCTCAAGTGGCGCACGGGACTGGGGAGCACGCGGTGGAGCGACGGGGCTGTGGTCGGCATGTTCCCCTCGCCGCTCTTCAACCCACAGGTGTGTGCTGCCTGCCTGCCTGCCTGCCTGCCTGCCTGCCTGCCTGCCTGCTGGGTGCTGCATGAGTCAACAGTGTTTAGATGTGGTGATTGTCGCCCTGCCTGCTTGTCTTGCTTGGGCTCAGCCTTGGCAGAGTTATAAACCTGCTGGTTTCAGCTGGTTTATTCCGGGTGTCGCTGTTCCTCAGGTGCCTGCTGGACCTTACATTCCGTATCACTTGGTTGCTGCTCGTTCTGCTACGTGCATTGCAACACCTCTCTTCCTTTGTTCCTTGTGCAGGCGGCCCTTCAGTCGCTCTGTGTCGTCGCTGTGGGTCAGAACCCCTGCATTGCTGCATTTGCGTGCGTGCAACCTGCTGCTCTTATTACCTCCACTCTCAAGGATGTCTCTCACTTCATCTATTGTTTTGCTTCACCAAAACTCAACTTGTTGTAGCTAGCTTAATAGCCACCAGGCCCTTGTTTGTATCAATCAGCTGTCAGCTTTAACGTTTCCCGCTACCATCCTTCCTCCACCTCACTAAGGCATACTTCCCCTCTCCCGTTTCCCCTCCCCTCCCCACTGCCCCCCCCATCTCTCTCCTCCCGCCTCGCCCCCCACCCCCGACCCCTTCCCCCCCCCCCCAACGCCTTCAATGCTCCCCCCAGGGCCACGGAGGAGCCAGAGTGGGTGCAGCTAGCAGCGTCCATCGTCTCTTCCTCCAGCCCCTCCAACCCCACGCTCCTGGCGCTGGGGATAGTTCCCCGGCCGTCCGTGCAGCTGCAGCGCAAGCTCAGCGGCGTGCTGCTCAATGAGATGAGCGCCGCAGGGGGGGGCGGGGGGAAGGGGGACGCAGGAGGGGCGGGTAGTGGGGGAGGAGCGGGGAAAGGAGGGGCTGGAGGGGAAGGGGGAGGGGGAGGGGGAACAGGAGGGGGAGAAGAGGGCGGAGCTGCAGCAGGAGAAAAGGGGGGACCGGAAAAGGGGGCGGGAGGGAGTAGAATAGCCCGTAGCAGCAGCAGCGGCGGCGACAGTGACGCTGGCAGCACTGGCTCTGTCGGCACCAGTGTTGCCCGTTCTGCTTCTGCTGGCCCCACCCACACCACCGCAACCAGCAGCAGCAAGTCGAAGCTGCCGCCTATGCCCCCATCATCAGCACACCGTTCCACACCACCACTCCCACCACTGCACCCCGCATTACCCACCGAAGACTCCCGCTCCTTTGGCTTTAATCGGCTATTTTCCCGGCCCGCCCAGGACGAGCGATCCGAGCCATTGATACCAACAGCAGCTTCCGATGCTGGCCGTGCGACGGCTCTAGTTGCGGCGTTAAAAGACCCGCTTAGGAAAGCGACGCACTTAGTGCTGTCGCCTAGGGGTGCGCTAATGGCTGTGGCGGATGGGCTGGGGCGAATTCTGCTCATGGACTCACAGATCTTTGCAGTGCTGCGCATGTGGAAGGTGGGTGGGGAGGACAGTGGGTGGGCTGCTTTTGAGTTTTTTGAAGGAACTGAAATCTCTGATAGCTCTCCATTCCTCTCCATTCCTCTCCATTCCTCTCCATTCCTCTCCTCTCCTCTCCTCTCCTCTCCTCTCCTCTCTTCTCCTCTCCTCGGCTCTCCTCTCCTCTCCTCTCCCATCTCTCTTCCAGGGTTATCGAGATGCACAAGTGGCCTTTTTTGAAGCGCCTGTGGTGGACGTAGCAGGCACTCATAGCACCACCACCGCCACCACCAGTGGCAGCACCAACAGCAGCATCAGTGACAGCGACGGCAGCAACATTAAGCCTCGCCCCTTCCGCCTGTGCCTCGCTATCTTTGCCCCCAGGAGGGAGACAGTAGAGGTAAGCACTGTGCCCCGCCACCTGTCCCTCGCGGCTTCTGCTCTGCTTATTTTCCCCACTTCCAGCCGCCCCTTCTCCTTCTTCCTCTGTTCCCTCTGCCATCCCCACGTTTCCGTCCCACCCCTCTCTCTCCCACACCCTCTCACAACATCAGGTGTGGCAGCTGGCCAACTGGTCCTCGCATAGCTTCCCTCTGCGGCATTCCAAGTCTCCTCAAACCCACGTTCCAGCACCTTCCTCTCCTCCCTCCCCACTCCGTTTCCCCCCTCACAACATCAGGTGTGGCAGCTGGTCACCGGTCCTCGCATCGCTGCCTTCCGCTGCGGCACCAACACACGACTCATGCAGCCGTCGCTGGGCTTCGGAGTGGCCTCGCACTCGCCCACGCCCACCCAACAGTCGCTGCCGCACATCCCCAGCCACCCCAGGGGGGAGGGGCCGCTGGTGGAGCAGCGGCACAGGGCGTTCGTGCTGCACGGCTCCTCGGGACTGCTCATGGAGCTCATGCCCACCATCTCACTCGCGGGAGAGTAAGTCGTATCCCTATCTCTTTCTTTATCTCTATCTGTACTCTTCCGCGCCCTTTTCCCCGCCCTCTTCCCTGCCTTCTTCCCTCTCCTCTTCCCTGTCTCCTCGCCTCATGTTTCTTCCATCATCCCCCCACCCATCCATCCTCTTCTCTTCCCCTTGTGTCCCAATGCCTGGCCCACGCCCTGCTGCAGACTGGTGTGCTCCAGCAAGCCCAGTTCCGAGGCAGGCCTGCTCTCCCAAGCCGACCTATTCCAGCGCCTGTGCGACCTGCTAAAGCTCAAGCACCACTCCAAGGCCCTTCCCTGCCTCTCCCTCCATCTGTCTCTGTTCGTATCCCCTGTCCCTGTGTTTGTGCAGACTGGTGGGCTCCAGCAAACCATCGTCCCAGGCAGGCCTGCTCTCCCAAGCCGACCTATTCCAGCGCCTGTGCGACCTGCTCAAGCTCAAGCACCGCTCCAAGGATGCTGCTCTGGCTGCTGCCAGGGAGCTCGTGAGGCGCGAGAGGAGGGCGAGGCTGGGAGAGGGGCTGAAAGGGAGGGGTGCGAGGCTGAATGACGTGGATGGGAAGCAGAGTGACGTGGGTTGGAGGCTGAATGACGTGGACGGGAAGCTGAATGACGTGGACAAGCAGCCGAAAATGCTGGTGGATGGAGATGGCAGTGGTGGTGGTAGTGGAGGGGAGCATGTGGACGACAAGACTGCCCAATCGGGGCGGAAGAAGGACAGTCAGAGAGGCGAGAAGGACGCTGGGGAAGAAAAGGACAGCAGCGAGAGCAAGCGGGGGGAGACACATGATCAGGAGGGTGAGGAAGAAGAGTTGGAGGAAAGAGAGGAGGAGAAGGAGGAGTGGTGGGGGGAGGTGGGGAGCCAGCAGTGGGAGGAGAAGGTGGTGGGAGTGCTGCTGGCTGCACTCAATTCGCCATTTCGCAAGCTACAGGTGGGTGGGCTTTTAGTCCACTCTGCTAAATGTAGTGCTGTCAGCTGCTGTGAAGGGCTACGGCACCCTTGCTTCTTTGGCTTGATGGGTTGACACCCTTGTTCTTTGACTCTCTCTCTCATGCACTCTCTGCTGCTAACTACCCTTCATGTCTGGCAAACCCACTCAAGATTCACTGGGCGAGTGCTTGGATTTTAGACTCTCAAGGTCTGGCCATTCCTCTCCGCTTAAATGCCTGACAAATAGACTCGTATTGTCTTCCTCTCCCTGCTTCCCGTTCGATCCACTCCTCAGGTCCTTGATCTGCTAATCGCCAGCCGTCCGTCTCTCTCAGCTAAGTGCCACTTAGCTGTGCTGGAGGATGTTATATGCACTCTGGAGGTCTCCCTAGCTGTGGCTCACCTCCCCCCACCAGAGCTTCCACGCTTAACTGAAATCAGCGAGGGCGGGGGAGAAGAGGGGAGTAAGGGAGTGAAGGGGGGTACTGGAGTGGGGAAGGAGGAGGAAGAGGGGAGGAATGGGGCAGGGGCGGTAGAGAATGGTTCTGGTGATATGAGGGGTGGCAATACAGGCACAGGTGGGGAGACGAAGGATGGGCAGGAGGTGAAAGAAGGGGATGAAGCGGAGAGGGCAGAAGGAAGGAGTGAACTGGAAACAAAGGCAGGGGGAGCAGAAGCTCCTAGTGGGACCTCAAGCATTGCTGCATCAAACGCTGCTGCTACTGCTGTTACTGCCGCCACTGCTGCCCCTGCTGCTGCTGCTGCCGCTGCTGCCACTGCCGCTGCTGCTGCTGCACCGGCAAAGAAGAGCTGGTGGGGGTCGCTCACCTCCTCTTGGAAGCAACCAGCTGAGCAGCAGCAGCAGCAGCAGGCAGATAGCAAAGATGGGTATGAGCTGCTCCCTCTGGTGGTGGAAAGTGGGAGCAGAGAGGGTGCCGAGAAGACAGGGGTAGAAAATGAGGCGGATGTGAAAACGGGTGATGGTTTAGGGGAGAACAGGGCAGGGCAGAAGGGCACGGAAGGGGAGGGAGAGAAAGTGACGACTAAGCCAGAAGAAAGGGACAGTACCGGGGGTGAGAAGGACCTTGAGGAGCCGTTTCCCCTGGCAGGAGGTAGGGCGGCAGTGGTGCAGAGTGAGTGGCTAAAGGACGTGGATGTGAGCAAGGTGAAGCGGGTGGACGATAAGTTTGTGCCCTTCTTGGAGCAACGGGCGCGAGCCCTGCGGTTTCAGCACCTTCTGGTGGAGGTGTATCTGCTGCTGGAGGAAGAAGCTGCTGCTGCTGCTGCTGCTGCTGCTGCTGCTGCTGCTGCTGCTGCTGCTGCTGCTGCTGGTGGCGGTGGTGGTAACGGTGCTGGTGGTGGTGCTAGTGCTGTTGAGGTGGGGCAAGGAGGGGAGAGGAAAGTGGATGAGGAAGACAGGAAGGCGAGGAGAGGGGTGTCTCTGGATGGAACAGAGTTCTGGAGAAGGGTGCCTGAAAGTGGATTGAGGGAGAGGGAGGAGGATGAAGAGGAGGAGGAGGAGGAGGAGGAAGAGGAGGAGGAGGAGGAAGAAGAGGCTGTGGTTGATTGGAGCGTGCAGGCGAGAGGAGGGACGTCTAACGGCTTGCCCGAGGCCAGTGCGCGGAGCAAGAGGGTGCGCAGGAGGTCAATGGGCGACATGGAAGCAGCTCTGCTGGTCTTTCGAGCGCGCTACGAGGCGCTGGTGTCCGATGTGGGGGCGTGGATTGCAGGCTGCTCCGTGGAGTCCCACCTGAACAAGCTCTGGATGGAGGGAGAGGACGAACAGACCAAGGGCCTAGGTGATGAGTCTGGTAGCAGGGGGGGCAGCAAGGGCACTGGTTTGAACGGCAGCAGCGGCAGCAGTATCAGTGGGATGAGCGGGATAACAGGGATTGGCGGGATAAGCGGGATCGGGGGTCTGGGGGAAGCTATTAGCAGGAGTGATAGTGGCAGCGGTGGCGGTACGCCTGGCATGATCAGCCGCAGCAGCAGTGGGATGCCAATGATGGAGGATTTTAGCTCCAGCAGCAGCAGCAACAGCGCGGTTACGTCTGCTGCTACCAGTCCTAGGGCATCTGCTCTCTCTGCCAGCCACGGCCCGTTTGCCTCTACGTCTGCACGCTCCCTCGCTGCTGCTGCGGCGGCAGCTGCTGCTGCAGCCATCCTGGGGACGTCATCGGACCATGTGCCGTGCGTCATGTTTGTGCGCTCCTTTGGCTTCGACCTGACTCGCAGCCCCTACTGCCAGCCGTCAGCGATACCTGTATCTTCCGCTGCTGTCGCTGCTGCTGCTACTGCTGCTGCTGCTACTGCTGCTGCCGCTGCTGCTGGTGGTGTTGCTGCGCTTGAGTCTCACAATGCGCCATGCGTTCAGAAGAGGGTGCGTGTGCGATGGGGAGCAGCAGCACGAGGGGACCACTCCAACCTCCCCTCCGGTGCATCCTCCCCTGCCTGCACCCCTTCCGCCACTCCCTCGCCCTCTGCCTCGTCTCCTTCTTCTGCCTCAGCCATTTCCTCGGCTTCCTCTGCGTTGGCACCTGCAGTGGCACCACCTCAGCTTGATCCTCGCCGCGGCTCCGCCGTCCTATGGCTGTGCCGGGCGGCAGATGTGGACGAGTTAGCCGCCCTGGCCAGGTTCTTCATGGGCAGGATCTCGCACGGAACCTCGGGCCTAAGAACCCTGCGCTCTGCCATGCACAGGCTCAGACTCCCTAGGGAGGACTGGCAGTGCTTGTTCCTAGTCTGGCTCCGCTCCATCCCTGTTCAAGACATCCTGACCGTTGATCTTCCGGTGCTGGTCGAGGTGGTCCGTCGGATTGGATGCCGGCGAGAGGAGGTGGAGGGCAGGAAGACGGCCAGAGTGGTGTTTTCCAGGGGGAGGATGGGAGGGAGGAACAGAGGAGGGGAAAGTGGGAAGAGGGGGGAGGGGGGGCTGGAAGGGAGTCTTTCTGGCAGTGTGCCTCCTGGAGGGAGGTATCCCCTGCTCTTTAGCTGGTGCCAGGTTACCGGGGCTGCTGCCAAGGCTCTGTTCCTGGCTCGGATCTGCACTCAGGTGATCAAGGAGGAGCTCCTGGATACCATACCTGGGAGGGAGCCTCGGAAGGGGACAGGCACAGCACGGCAGCAGCAGCAGCAGCAGGTGGTAGGGGGTAGGAGGGAGGAGGATGCACATGGTGCAGGAGAGGTTCGGAGTGCATCTGGAAGGCTGATCGTGGCTCCTCCGAAACCGAAAGATAATGATCTTTGGATTGAGGTGAGCTTTCTCTCACTCCCCCTCCCCCTCCCCCTCCCCGCCCTCCCTTCCCCATCTCTCTTTCTCACTCTCATCCCTTCCTCAAATGTCCGTCCCATCAGCAGCACTCATCCCCTCCCCTCCTCCAACCCGTCTCCCCCACCCCATGCTCCCTCCTGCACCTTCCTCCAGCACGGCCTTGAGCAGTGGCTGCACCTGTCAAGCCACGTGGAAGACGCCTGGCTTCTTGGCCGAGCCATCATCCACGTCTGCAAACTCTCCTCCTCCCGAGGCTACCCGGTTCGGCAGGGCCGGTTACCGTCCGCAGCTGAGGTCCCGACCTTCCCCGTGCCTCTCTGGGTGGCTCGGCTGCAGCTGCTGCTCTCCCCGTCGGCCCTTTTCACCTCTCAGTTGCACCGGGCGTTGCTGAGGGTTGAGCGACCCGAGCTGGTTCGAGGGATGGCTAATGACATGGTGGCGGAAGTGAGAGAAATAGAGAAGGGGAGAGGGGAGGAGGGTGGGTTTGGGAGAGGGGGAAGCAGTGGTGGTGGTGGGGAGGGGAAGTTGGGTGGTGGGAAAGAGAAGTTGGGTGGGGAAGGTAGTGGGAAGAGAAAGAAGGCAAGGAGAAAGGTCAAGGGCAGGACAGCAGCAGGAAGCACGGCTGGTAAAGGCGCCAGTGTGGTTAGCATTGGTGAGGATGGAAAAGGTCACAGTAGGGTGGTAGAAGAAGGAGCGGGTGGGGATGAGCATAACGGGGCGCATGGGCTTCCGAGGGTGCGAGTCCGGAGGGCTTCTGAGGAGGGAGGGAAGGAGGAGAAGGACACAGTGGGAAGTGGGCAGCAGGATGAGAATAGTGAGGTGGGATCTGGAGCAACAGGGAAGGAAGTGGGCGAGAAGAGTGCGGGTAAGGATGTGGAAGAAACGGCGATTGACGGGAATTCTGAAAAGGTGGGGTCTGAGAAGGGAGGACACAAAGAGGAGGAGAAGCAGGAGAAAGAGGAGGAAGAGCGAGAGGAGGATGGGGAGGAGGAGGAAGAGGGCGAGGAGGAAGACGAGGAAGAGGATGAGGAGGCTGAGGCTGAGGCGGAGGAGGAGCGGCAGCGGGAGGATGAGAGGGAGTCGGTGCAGCTGCTGCGGGAGATGCTGGACCGCTTCCCTGAGAGCTGCCACTCGGACATCCTGGCATCGCACCGAGCCATGGAGCTCTGCCGCCAGTGGTCCACTGCCTTCTTCCACAGCGTCAAAGCCGCGTATGTATCGCCTAAGCCACCTGCTCCTGCGCCTGTTTCTGCTGCTGCTGCTGCGGCAGCTCCAGAGCATGCGGCAGCTGGTTCTGCTGCTGCTGCTGCTACTGCTGCTGGTGATGATGCTGGTAGCAAAGGAGACGACGACAAGGAGAAGGGACGGAACCAGACAGGAAGTCAGAAGCAGGAGGTGCAGCAAGAGAAGAAAGACAAGACGGGGCAGAAGGAGAAGAGTGGTGGGAAGCTGAAGCTGTCAGGGCTGGAAGGCAGGAAGGGGCGTGGGCTGTCCATGTCGCTAGGCGGCTACGATGCAGAGCCGAGCGACCTGCTCTTCTTCTCGCACGAGCATGTGTCGCCGCTGCCCACGGTCGCACTCAAAGGCGGTATGGTGTGCTCCATGTGGCAGTCCCTCATTGGCCAGCGCGCAGCCTCGGCAGTGGGCCTGGTGCAGAGGCTCGGGAGGTGCCCCACGGATGAAGAATGCGAGCTGTCGCTGGGTAAGTGGTGGGGGGAGGGTACTGGGTGGGCAGGGGGAGAAAGGACGGCGTGTGTGTGTGCGTGCCTACCTCATCACGTGCTTGTTGTTTCTTGCGTTTCTCGTTTTTCTCCATGCTCGTTGCTCCTTCTCTTCCGTCCCTTGAGGAGCCTCAAAGTACGTCCTTAACATCCTTTCCTTTCCCTGCCGCACCCCGTACCACACTTCCACCCTCTGCCCTCCCTCCTCCCACACATACGCACATCCCCCCCCCCCCATAACACACGCACGCCTCTCCCCACCCCCGCACCCCCTCCTCTACAGGCATGGGCAGTGAGACAACAGCGGAGGCAGCAGGTGCAGTGGGCGCATACGAGCAGATGCTAGTGCTCCTCTACGACTGCACTCTGCTCCTCGAGTACGGGGACGGTGCGGACGAGCTCTCCACCAACCACAACGCCTTTGTGTCGGCGCACGACGCCATGTGCCGGGAGGCCATATCTGATTTCAAGCAGGCGCCGCCGTCAGCCGAGACGCTCCATGCGTACATGCTGCTGATCCGCACCATCGGGGTTTCGCTGGCGTTGAACGTGCCGGTCGTGCCTCTTGCGTCCATGTTCCCGCCCGCTCTGCTCTCTGGCTTCCCGGCTCTTTTCCTGGTGAGCTGCTGCTGCCTGTTCTTGATGATTCTGCTCATGTGGAAATGAACCATCCCAAGGCTGCTCAATATGCTCTCACTACTGAATCGTCAATCCCTCTGCCAATATCGTGTATGTCCTTCCTAGCCGGATCTTTCTTGCTCTCCATCAGTCTACTTGGCATGTCACTAGCTCTCATTTCCTACCTCCTCGTGCCATCCACCCTGTGTCCCCCCTGCAACAACAGTCCCTTCGGCCCGAGGACGCAGCATCGGTGACAAAGCGCACGGAGGCGCGGCTAGAGTTTCTCCTCTCTGTTGTGGAGGCACAGAACCGGAGAGCACAGATCGCGGCAAATCCCGATGCCGATGCCGCATGGTGCAAGCTCACCCGGCGCTCGGAGCATTTGCGCGTGTACCAGCGGCGGTATGCATGCACGTCGGCCTTTGCTCTTGCGGAGGATCTAGGAATTCCCCATCAGGAGCTTGAGCGGCGGCAACAAGCCGTCCATAGCTTGTAGCAGCAGCAGCAATTGCGACTACTACCGGTATATGCCCCCCTGTTTCAGAGCCCCTTAGGTGATATGTAGGGTAGGGGAAAGTTGCAATTATGCCAGCAGAGTAGTCCTGCTTGATTGCAGGTGCGTGTCTACCTACGTAGGGCGTGCCGATTATATCAGTCACTGGTGGTGTCATGTGATGTGAGATCCTGGCGGGTGCACTAGGTTTTTAGGAAGTGTGGATGGGTGCCATGCGCTCATCGGCCCATCGGATTTCCTCACATACAAGCAACCAAAACATTGCCTTTTTTTTAACTCTCTGAGAACGCGCTAGACAGGCCCCAAGAACCACGCAGGATACCGGTACTGGTACCCATACCACAATTCCACTTGTTTGTTACCAATACTCATCTTAATAAATTGTTGATATGGTGTATTACCAACCTGTGGTCAGCTTCAAGATTGAAGATACCCATTCACATAGACAGCCCGCCGTTGAGCCAATGCCCCATCTGCCAGAAACTGGACGACGGAATGGTACCATGGGCCATGGCTGCTTCCATGTGCTCGTCAACAGGCACTACGGGCGTGCAGCTACATACATACCCTTGTTCTCTATACTTCGTCTACGGCAGGTGTTGCTGCATCCAGTGTGTGAGGGCAGGGCATTCAGCAAGAATGCCTTCTGGAGTCCAGTGTGGCGCTGACTGCTGCAAGCTCGAGCCAAAGCAAGATGCAGCCGAGTAGGTGGATGTAGGCTCGCTAGAAAGGGCAGAATTTGCGCTGCCAGTGCTCGGATCTTGATGGTTCTGCATCCGTTGAAGCAAGACGAGAAAACAGGGGATGCGAACGACAGGTTAAATACTCACTATATCCATTTCCTTATGAGGCCTGAAGCCGTGGAATATGTTGAATCCGTGCGATGTGTTGCAGCAGCTCTCAACAAATCCCATACATGCACACCTTCATCTTTTCTTGCCATGCCAGCGGGCAGAAGTCAACTTCATTTGTTAACCGCCCTCCGCCGTGCTCGTACTCCACCCCATTCACCCTGTACAGCTTCCACAGTAGCCCGCCTGACTCCACGCGCAACTTCCGCTCATGCCGCACACTCCGCACTCTGAAGCGACTCGGTGGCGACCGGTAAGGCGCTGGTGAAGGAGCTGGTGAAGGCGCATGAGTTGTGGTGGAGGATGGAGAGGAGGGAGAGGGGGGCATGCCGACATCAAAGTCGAGGGTGATCGGCCAGTGCAGCCCCCCTTTTGAGCTGCCGTCGATGATTGCTGTGGATGCTATGCGCTCACAGGCAGACCGAGTGGCGTCCTGCAGTGGGGTTCGGGGACGTGAAGAGGAGGAGGTGAGGGCATGGAAGCATAGAGTCAGGGATGTGAGAGAAAGAGAGGAGTTACCGACGATTGCTGTGAATGCAATTCGCTTACGCGCAGAACCAGTGGCTTTTTTGTTAGGAAAGAGAGGGAAGTAGAAATAGTGAGGATTAAGAGAAAGAGAGAGCTGGGTGCATAAAAGAAAAAAAAAAGCTTCCCATACTTTATACGCGTAAAGAAAATCAAGCACGCAGAACGTACACCACTTGTGTATGTATGCCTCATGACTCACATCATGCAATCATAGGCACGTGCCTGACCATCACATGATGAAGGAGCAGAGGTAGGACCCATGCACACTCAAATCATACATTCGATGGCGCATGCCATAGCAAGAGAGAAGGGCCTGTCGGTCCATAGCATGAGGCGGAAATAAGTATCCCTGAAGGGCGGTTGAAGCACCTGAGCATAGGTGTGTTTCGTGCATGTGTGCGCCTCATGGGTCATGACTCACATCAAGCGAGCATAGACGGGTGTCAGTCCACAGCATGAGCCGGAAATCAATGTCCCTGGAGGGGCGAGAGACGTCAATGACTGCATAGCGCAGAGGATTGTGCTTCACCTGGATAGTTGCAGAGATGAAATGGCAGGGATGGGATGGGATGGGATGGGATGGGATGGGATGGGATAGGATGGGAGAAGGATAGAGTGGGGGGAAGAACGCAAAGAGAAGCCTGTCAGTGGATCACGCCACATGAGCTCGCAAAATGTGCAAACGCCGCATACAAATTATCAGTATGAAAATTTCTGAACAGCATAAAAAAAGTGCACAACCAGCGAAGGCATAGTATCGAAGCACACCTTAGTGAGGATAATTCCTGAGCCACCAGTGTCCGGCTCGCACACTAACTTGTACTCTGTGTCAACCGGCTGCTCTGTGTCTACTATCTGTAATGGAGCCACATTATGGGGGATAAGAGGCCGTAGGAGGGACACAAAGTGGTCTCCACCAGGTGCTCTGTGTCTACTACCTGTAACGGATCAATGTTATGGAGGATAAGCGGGCGCAAGAGGGAGGGACGACAAAAAGGTTTCCACCGGCTGCTCTCCGTCCACTGCCTGTAACGGATCAGCAATACGGAGGATAAGAGGGCACATGATAGAAGTGGCGGAAAAATGCTAAGAAAGGGGGGCGAAAGTGATGCGACGAGCATGGGTTGGATCGCGGAGTGCAAGGTTGCAAGACACGGTGTCTTGATGCATCCCAGCACCTGACATGCACCCGTATGAAGCATGTCCCTTCAATTGACCCGTACCCGTAAAAAGCAGGTCTCTTCACCCGCACAGGCCCCATATGGTAGGTCTCATTCCTGCATACATCCACCCCCTCACCCCCCATCACTATGCTCTCTATGTCTTGGAACAAAGGTTCGGGCATGCCTCAAGGCGCATGCATACCCCTGCGTGATAGCTCTCCTCACCTGACACACACACACATACACACACACACACACACACACACACACATACACACACACACACACATACACACACACACACACATACACACACACACACACATACACACACACACACACATACATACCCGTATGTAGTACGTCTCTTTCCTGCGCGCGCTGGCCCCCTCTCCCGCCATCACAATGCTCTCCACCGCTTGGAACAGAGTCTCGGGCATGCCTGTCTCCAGCGACCGCGTCACATTCACAGGGAGCCTCCTCCCCTGCCTGTTCCGGTGCGCCTCAAATGCCCCCGCTGTGAAGGGCGGTAGGCCGGGGAGGAGAGACCTGACGAAGAGGTGTGTGGTCAGGATGGGGATGGGAGGGGTTGGGAAGGAAGTCGAAAGGAGGGCTTTAAGCAGACGTTTTTGCATGCCTGTCTGTAGTGACCGACACACGTTAATTGGCAGCCTTCTCAGCGTACCTTCACTCACTTCCCCCTGTCATCGCCCCATCCCCCTGTCACGCCACTTTCTTTTCCCCACCCTACCCCAGGTCACTCTGGCAACCCAAAAGGGCAGCTCAACAGCAGCTATGCCCCTCTCTATTTCCCACATCCCCACACACGGCAGTATGCCCTGTCCCTCGTTCTTCCCTCACTCACTCTGGGGAGCCGAAATGAGGGCCGAACAGCAGTTTTCCCAAGCGCACCACGAGCTTTGCATCCGAGTCCCTCTCTCACTCACTCCCCACACACATTCCCTGCTCAACTCACTCTAGTGAACCGAAGCGAGGGCCGAACAGCAGCTTCCCCAGGCGCACCGCGAACCTGCATTGGTCCACATACCACCTTCTTGACTGCGACTGGGCGTTCCATGAAGCCCCTCCCTCACCTCCCCATCCTCCGCTCTCTCACTTACTCTGGCGACCCGAAAGGAGGGCCGAACAGCAGCTTCCCCAGGCGCACCACCAGCTTGCATCGGTCGACAGACGGCCGCCTAAGCTGCGACCGGGCGGCAAACTCCATTGCCTTATGAACCGCCTCTAGCCCCTTGAAAAGCGGGCCCGCTATGGCGTCGAATAAGGAGGTCGATTGAAATCTGGAGAGACGAGAGGCGGGAGATGGCTTGAAAGGTGGTTCGGAAAGTCCGTCGAAAAGTGGATCGGAGTTGTCATGATTGGGTGGTTCGATACGGTCATTGTCGGATTCTGGAACCCTCGTTAGAAGGGAGAGGTTCTGACCCTGTAAGTGCAGGTAGCTCCTCCCTTTGAACGGTCGGAATCTGAGCAGCATGCGGTTGCATCGAGCTGTTCCCCCGTTACAAGAACAGTTACCGCTGCATGAAGTTCCCATAACGGAAGACTCACGCTCAGCGAAATCGTCAACTATTGTATACAGCACAACGTCGCGAACATTCTGTATCGGAATTTTTCTTGCCGAATGATTGTTGCCTCGGCCACCCGTCTGACCACAGCCTCTGCCACGGCCTTTCCCGAACCTGCTTTCCGATCCGGGAGCCGAACCTGCATGGCTTTGACTCGGCATTGCTGGCGTCCTGGAAGCAGGTTCAGCACCGGAGCTGGTTGCACTGGCTCGCTTATGAGGAGGAACGTACGGCATGGTGCGTCAGGAGGATAGGAGGCGATCCTTCATCAATAAAAAGGTGATTTTCGTAAGATCTGACAGGAATGCTCTGAGACGACTAGACGGAACGGTAGGCGAGGAAGGGAAGTTCAAAGTACGTATTTGCACACAATGATGCCAGCACTGTTGAATGGTCCCCCCGTACAAGTTTTCCCCCACGTACAAGTTTCCCCAACCACTTTTTATTAAAGCCCAGGTCCCAAATTAGTCACGCAGGCATCAAGCTGTGCCCAGTTTGATGCTGCCCACGCTTGCGAACTACCTAAGAAAAAAAAGAACCGACTACCACTTCGCCACCGTGAGAGGCAAAACCGAGGCTGGTATATCTACGGTAAAAATCAACTTTACAAACTGCGCCGAGTTTGATTCGTGCACTTTCCGCCGTTGGATCGGTATTGCCCAAACCAACTCCCGTATATCCCAGTTCCCGCAAGGTTTCCGATCGACGGCTGTAATTGTGCTCACAAATTGGGACTTCATGTGTCCCTGCGTCTCGGCCGTCAGATCCGCGATTGGCCCCACTTGAGCTCCCAAAGTCGAACTGGGCTCAGCTTGCAGACGAAATCCCCCGCGAAGAAACGGAATCACGCGCTTTCGCACCCAATAAAACAATTGTTTTTCCCAACCGCCCAGCCCAAATTCTGCCTGTTGACTTGCGCGAACTAATTTGGGATCTGGGCTTTAAACAGCTTCTCAAAAGCTCTCGTAGGCAAAAAACCTTACTTGCGCAAGCGCCTTAGTAAAGATATCAGCTGTGTTGGCACCGGAGGCCAAGTGTACTACGCGGGCCTGGCGACGCTGCTGCAGCTCACGCAGGAGGAAGTACTGCAGCTGGATGTGCTTCGCTCTGCCCTCAAGTCGAGGCTCCCGACACAGGAGGACCATGGCCCTGTTGTCAACGTACAGGACCGGGACAAAGCTAGGCCGCTCACCTAAGTCGGTGAGCAAGAAGGTCAGCCAGCGGAGCTCCTGTGCTGCCATGGCACTGGCGTAGATCTCAGCCTCACAGCTAGACTGGGCAACAGACAAGGAGCGAGAGGACCTCCACGAGATGTCACCCGAACCAAGGCTAAAGGAGTAGCCCTGGGAGGACCGGAGGGTCTCAGTGTTGTCTGCCCAAGAAGCGTCTGTGTGCCCAGTAAGGACCACTGACCTGCATCCTCCCAGCATTAGCCCCATGCCCGATGTACTTGCTAGATAACGCAAGACCCTCTTAGCGGCCGACCAGTGCTGTGGTCGGTGTCTGCTTGTGGCTACAAAGCGAGCCACGATGCTGAGAGGGTATGCGAGATCTGGACGAGTGCAAGTCATCAGGTACATGAGGCAACCCACCAGCTCTGCGTAAGGATCACTGGGCTCTACTGACTCCTTAGGAACTGGAGCTGAGAGCATGTGGTCTACTGGCAGAGGTGTGGGCTATGCGGAGGAGAACTGAAGACCGAACCTCTGAAGGACCTGGCACACCAAGTGTGACTGTGTGAGAGTGATAGTGCGTGCTGCTCTGTCCTTGGAGATCTCCAAGCCAAGGTAGCAGCGCAGCTCTCCTAGGTCAGTGCAGGTTTGTCTCCTTAGCAGCTCGGCCTTCACGGAGGCCAGCGCGTCTCTGTCTGCAGTAGCGAAGACCAGGTCGTCTACGTAGGCAAGGATGTAGAACGGAGTCTGGCCAGCACGAACGAAGAGCGAAGGGTCTGCAGAGGATGGAAAGAACTGCAGGTAGGCTAGCGTAGCACGCAGCGTGTCGTTCCACTCACGGGGCGCCTGTCAGAGGCCGTAGAATGGGAGCCGAGGACCCACTGGGTTCCAGGAGGGAAGGTACCGGCGCAGGTAGACCTGCTCGTGTAGGCTGCCCAGAAGAAAAGCAATGGAGAAGTCGAGGGAGTCGAGCTCGTAGTCATGCTGTGCTGCTACGTGTAGCAGCGCCCGAAGGGTAGTCATCTTCAGGGTCGGGGCGAAGGTATGAAAGAAGTCCACCCCCTCTTGCTGACTAAAGCCTCTAGCCACGTAGCGCACCTTGAACACAAGCGGCTCTCTAGGGGGGCGCTTCACCTTGAAGAGCCACCGACCATCGACTACGTTCACCCAGGTGGGGATCTGCGTCGACGTAGGTGCCGGTGGATCTTCGAGATGCCATCTCTTGCTCCATGGCAGCTATCCACTGAGAGGCCCAGGGTCCCGAGGTCGCCTCAGAGTAAGTGCGAGGGGTCGGGATGTCAAAGGCGTTGGGGTCACCCTCAGGGACTAACAGCATGGAATAGAGATGGGGAGCAGCCTTCGACAGGAAAGCAAGCTCGTACTGCCTGTCCTCTAGGACGTCATTGCCAAGGGCAAGAGCACCTCCGACGGACGGAGGACGGGCAACGTCAGAGACCAGAGTGGTGTCGTAGTCAAGGCAGCGGGTAGAGGCGAAGTCAGCGTTTGCAGCGACAAGAGCGTCAAGACTCGAGGCAGGAACAGCTGGGTGAGTAATGAGGGAATCTAGGACCCGCGGAACAAGAGGACGAGCGGCACAAATGCATTCAGACAGAGGGGGAGGCGCGACTACAAGCGACGACAGAAGAGGCGAAGGCAGGAGGGGAGGATGAGATGCGTGGGAACGAAGCAACATAGGGTGAGAACGCGGAGCATGGGAGACAGGACGAGCACGAGAGGGACGGCGTGATCAGACGTGAGACAAAGGCGTCGGGTCAGGTGACGGGAGGAGTAACAGGAGGGGAACGAGGTGGGAAATGGGCCGGGGACGAGTCCGGCGGAGGAAATATAGGGTCGTGGACAGGAAGGGGAGGAGGCAGCCGGGGAGGTGCAGGCAAGCGGTCGGGGGACGGAAGGCCGAGCAGGCGAAGGGCGGACACTGGCGGCGACTGCTGCGGCTGCTGCTCGACGCCGACACCTGGACCGCCTACTGCACCATGAATACCTCCGGAACACTCCACTCCAGCATCCCCAGAAAGAGAACCCTTGCCAGCACCGGTGCCACCCCCGAGCCCGCCGGGACACGACAGGAGCCCCAGCACTAGCACCCTCCTCACTGCCTGCTGTTGCGGCGGTGGCGGCGGCTGCTGCGGCGGCGACAGCTGCTGCTGTGGTGGCGACTGCGACGGCGGAGGAGGAGACACCGAGGGAGAGACAGGCGGCGAGAACTGCGCCGCAGGGCCACCAGAATCAGCCGACTCCTCAACCGGGACAATCAACGGGAGGGGTTAGACGTGAGACACACTAGACGGAGCGACAGAGGGAGTGGGGACTACAAACAGGGGAGGGGAAACCGGGAGACCTCGGTGGGGAAAGCGATAGTAATAGGAGACACACTCGTCGAAAGTGGCGCCACGAGAGTGAAAGAAACGGAGAGATGGCGGGTGGTAAAAGTGCCAGTCAGACGAGTCCAAGGGGGAAGCGAGGAAGACACAGGGGACAGTGCGGGCAGCTTGTCCGTGCCAGAGGCACGAACGTGACCGAGGCAGCCCCAGACGTGGGACGCAGACGCATCACCAGGGAACCCGGTCCAAAGAAGGGTCGGCGAAACATGCGGCCGCTGGGAGCGCGGCCAGAGGTTAAGCTCGTGAGCAGCGTAGCAAGCGGCGAACGGCTATAGAAAATGGGGTGCACCAGCATGAATCATGGAGGTATGAGCCACCTCCATGACCAAACTGATGCGTCACTCAATAACCCCATTTGGCTGCGACGAGTCTTCTACGGTGTACGACTGGGTGATGCCCTCTGCACGACAGAACTGTTCAAGCCGACCAGAAGCAAACTCGATGCCACGGTCGGAGTGGAGAAACAGCACAAGGAGACCGTGGTGGAGGCGCGCACCTATGACCCACATGATAAGAACGTCAGACACGTCGGCCTTCCGATCCAAGGGAAACACCGTGGTGTAGGGCGTGTAGTCACTAACGAGCACGAGAAAGTAGCGCTGGCGATGCGGTCCGGGGACGGGGACAGGCCCCAGACATCCTTGTGCAGGGTCTGGAGGGGTGCAGTGGTAGGGCGAAGCGAGGAGGTGTGAGGAGCACAGCGCAGCCAGCCCTCGACGCAGAGCATGCACGGCGGTGCAGGCAAGGGAGGGAGGGCAGGGAGCGACGCAAGGAGACCTAGGACGCGACTGTGCTGGGACATGTGACGCAGACGCGGGAGTGCGGGGTGACCTAGGTGGTGGTGCCTCAGAAGGGACGGGTGAGTGAGCGACCGACTCGAGCACGCAGCGGCTACCTGTGTAGACACAGGACCCGGGGAGGACGGTCCACCTGGGGGGGAAGCAGTGTCCTGCGTAAAGAGGACAGGCACCGAATCCTGGGGGAACGTCGCAAGGAGAGAACCTGAGGCAGCCTCGGTACAGAAGGCGTACCGCTCGTGACCCGGAAACGTAGTGGTGACACCGAGGTCCTGAAGACAGCCGACACCAAATAAGTTCCGGGAGAACGAGGGGATGTGCAGGCTTATGAGGGAATCCCAGGGAACCGCTGGACAGGGAAGGGTAGAGTAGCTGCGAGCAACTACAGGAGCAGAAGAGGGGTCAGCAAGTGCGACAGCAGCAGGTGCAGCGGCGTAAGCGCAGCGTGGTCGCGGAAGAAGCAGAAAGACGCACCGGAGTCAAGTGTGAAAGACAGCAAAGCGGTAGCAGCGGACGAAGGAGGGGCAAGGGTGGAGCCTAGGCTAGACAAAGCAAACGGTCCTATGCTTGACGCAGCAGGGATGTCTGTACTACACACAGGTGCTATGCCTAAGCTAGAGAACACGGGGTAATAATTTCCAGACACACTAGAAGCGTCAGCATACAGAGAATGCAGGGCAGAACTAATCTGATCCATGTCTAACTCAAAAATATGCACACCGTGGCGTAGCAGACTGGGCCACTCTGGGAGGTCCGGGGCCAGGCCGAAGCGGCGACGGAAGAGGTCGTTGAGGCGGCGGAAGCAGCGGGCGGTCGGGTGCGGGCGGCGGCATATAGTGCCATGGAGGGGCCCCGTCTGGAGCTGGTACTGGCAGCCCACAGCACCGAAGCCGCTGGTAGATGCCAAGCTGCGAGGACCACCACCGCGGCCACCACCTCCAGGGGCTCCTAACCACCCCGGCTGGAGGCGGGCCCATGGCTGCT